TTGTTAACTGATTTTTATATGGTTTAAATGAGTATTATTAGGTGTATAAATCTGATATTTGTTAAAATATTTAACCAAAATTTACGTAGGGGAAGCTTACGAAACGGGTCGGGTATGAATATGAATGTTTATGGCATCAAACCGACCCGAACAGGACGACAAGAAGAGCTATCGTTATTGATTCGCTTGTGCTTAACAGCCAATTACCCCGCGAATTTGCGTATGGCGGTAGATAGAAATCCAAGAAATTGATTCAGTTTCTTGCACCATCTTCCGGATAATCAGTGCTTGAACTTGCCAACTGATCGGTCCTTCACGAATTGACGATCGAAATCGAAGCAGGAACTCCGGCTTTTTGCAGTGCCACACTTCATTCCTCAGCCATGAGAAGGTTGTTCTTGGATCTTAGTTTTCTCATACATTTGTGTCATTTATGTTTGTGATGTTTCCTCTTCGTCTTAGAATTTGAATCACCACTTCCTTCGTTGCAGATCGGGGCAACATTTACATCGGCCACATGCGAAGCAAGGTGTAGGAGGATTGAAGGGCATGATGGGGAAGTTATCAATCGCCGTGGCTTTTCTCTTGATCTGTACGGTTTTGTTGTTTGTATCATCAACGAGTAAAGGTGGCTTTGGATCCGTCTCTCGCTCTGAGGTTAGTTGAGGTTGTTGGGTGTGATTAATTGCTGTTTATGTCCGCTGCCGCGAGAGTGTTGAAGTAGAGCTTTAGAGTGGTAGGTTCTTAGTTAGTTCCATGAAACTGGTTACGTTCATTCTTTTTCCACTTGGGAAATATAGGAAAATAAGTATGTCGATCCATTATTTTATTGCTGGAAATCACGATTTCAGCAGTGAAATCACGATCACATTGTAGTTTTAAAATGTAGTGTAAGCTTAGCTACCTCACATTAAAGAGTTGTTTGATGCCGTTTTATCAATATGGGGTTGACAATTGCATCTGGTAAATTTTTTCATCCTTGCGAATTACGATGGCAAAAGGAAAGCTACCTCACATGAACTAGTTTCTGGATACATGGAGGAGGTGATAGGTAAAGCTATTGGTAGTGTTTGAATATTTCAACACGATTGAAATTTGATCTTTTCTATTCTTGTTTGGCCAGATCAAGGCTGAAGAACTTTGGAGCCATGCTCATGCTGGTGGTTGGAGACCTTCTTCAGCTCCACGATCTGATTGGCCACGTATTTCTTCGTTGCCTTTAAAAATCACTGTCTCATGCGACAAGATTATATTGCATGTTTTTAGCTTATGTTGAGAAATGATGGTTGTATTGATTTAGATAAGATAGATTTTAAAACTCAATCACACCATGACAGCTCCACCGAATGAAAGCAACGGTTACTTGAAGGTTCGCTGTAATGGTGGTCTGAATCAACAACGCAGTGCTGTTAGTATTTCTTACATAGCTTGAACTCTAGTTTTCTTCATGCACTCTCAGCTTTTTTGTCTTTAAGTAAGATAAAAGTTCAAAATTGAGTGGAAAAACATGCTACTTATGTCCTTAAAACTGGGGCTTTCTACTTTTGCATGGTTGGATTGTTAGAGCAGTTGGATGGTTGGGGTTTTCTGACTTAGTTTGATCATTGGTGGTGATGTCATTTTGTTATTATTAATAATTGGAGTCTCTTCTATAGCTTTCTTCTTCTTGTTTTTTAAGCTCTTGTTTAGTCTCTGCACCTTCTCTTGTTCCTCTATGCGAGAGTTTCTCATTATAAAAATATTATTTTGGATATTTTAGATATGTAATGCAGTTCTTGCTGCTCGGATTATGAATGCAACACTGGTTCTACCTGACTTAGATGCAAACTCCTTTTGGCATGAGAAGAGGTATTTTAAATTTTAACTATCCATCTTAGTACCTTTGTGTCCAAAAAGAAAATCTATCTCAGTACTTCAATCTGTTCTAGTTACCATTTTTATATTGTGTAGTACTTTCAACTAAATCTTGTTTTTCTTTCCACAATATATTCTACCCTCTATAATACATTCCTGGTAACTATTGATTTCATTTTGTGTAGTGGTTTTCATGGTATCTATGATGTGGAGAATTTTATAAAGACACTGAGGTATGATGTACGAATCGTGGATAGCATTCCAGATATTCGCAAGAATGGGAAAACTAAGAAGATAAAACCTTTTCAGGTAAAAAAGTCAGACGTTATTCTAAAAGAAAATTTCTGTCAGGAATTATATGTTTGTGTTCATGATCTCTTTAATTGAATCAGCTCCGACCCCCTAGAGATGCTCCAATCAGTTGGTATACTACGGTTGCTCTTGAGAAGATGAGGGAGCATGGTGCTATATATCTCACTCCATTCTCACATCGTTTAGCAGAAGAAATTGACAATCCCGAATACCAAAGATTAAGATGCAGGGTTAACTATCACGCTCTGAGATTTAAGCCGCATATCTTAAGAATTAGTCAATCAATAGTTGATAAGCTTCGCAATCAAGGCCATTTCATGTCTATTCACCTTCGTTTTGAGATGGACATGCTGGCCTTTGCAGGGTAAGTGTTTTCTTCACTGATCTTGAAACAAGGTCCTGATGATTTGTGGGAAATTAAAAGAAGAAAAAGAAACAAGGTCCTGATGGCTGCCTTACAATAATTGGTTTTCTTTTACACTGCTACCACCTTTTCCCAAAGAAAATTACAAGAAGGGCCTAGACATACCCGCCTTACATTTTACTTTCTTTCTCGGACTATTTCTTATTTGTTATGAAAGAGAAGTCATGTTATGGTATATTTACATTATTTGACTGGTTTGCAGGTGTTTTGACATTTTTACTCCTGAAGAACAAGAAATCTTGAAGAAATATCGAGAGCAAAATTTTGCAAAGAAGAGACTGGTTTATAGTGAAAGAAGGGCAATTGGAAAATGCCCCTTAACTCCGGAGGAGGTGACGTTCGCATACACACTTGACTATATCTTTGCTTAAAACCAGTTGATTACTGGGCATTTACACTTGTCATTTTTTATTGAATGTAAAAATGATATGGGAAAGAATCACCGATCTGCTAGGCTTCTTCTTTGTTCTGCAGGTTGGTCTCATTTTACGTTCCATGGGGTTTGACAATTCTACCAGAATATATCTCGCGGCTGGTGAGCTTTTCGGTGGCGAACGGTTCATGAAGCCATTTCGTGCTTTGTTTCCCCGTCTTGAGAACCATAGCTCTGTTGAATCTTCAGAGGAACTTCTTGAAAATGTGAGAGGATTGACAGGGTCTGCAGTAGACTACATGGTTTGTCTCCTTTCCGACATCTTCATGCCAACTTATGACGGACCGAGCAACTTTGCCAACAATTTGCTGGGCCACCGTCTGTATTATGGCTTCCGGACTACAATCAGACCAGACAGGAAAGCTCTTGCACCAGTTTTCATCAACAGAGAGAACGGGAGGACAGCAGGCTTTGAAGAAGCTATTAGGAGAGTTATGCTTGGCACACACTTCGGTGGGCCACATGAACGCGTTCAACCAGAGTCATTTTATACGAATTCTTGGCCTGAATGTTTCTGTCAAACGTCACCAAAAAATCCTGCTGATAAATGTCCACCAGACAACGTGTTGGAGATTCTGAATGGCCAATTGGTGGAAAGTCAAAGTGACAGTGATTCGGATGTCTCAACCCAATCCAATTCAACTGCCAGATGAGAAGCATATATCAAGATGTTAGCAAGCTCATTATAACTCGACCCTGCCAACAACACAGTTACCAATTCCAATTGAATAGGTTTCATTTACAAACGGCACTTTCCTCCAGGTAAATTTTATGGGTAAAAAAATGCAAGCATAAACCAGTCTTTTTCATAGTAACATTTCTGTCATAGAGTGTGTTATGGAATGCCCTTTCCTTTTACAAGATGGAGGAGATAACAACAATGCATTCCTTTCCTTATTTCCATGCCATTGATTTTTGTCTTGTTGAATCATGAAGTGCACTTTTTGCTTTTTTCAGGCCCGTTTGGATTAGTCTAGCATTACGAGACAGTAACACGAGGAGACTCATGTCGATGCGAGATTACAGCGGATTCATCTAGGGTGTGTACAATTGTACTTTCTCCATGTGTTATACTGTCATCTCGAATGTCCTATTTTGTAATGTAGCAATAACATGTTTTCCACTCTGGTTCACAGCCCAACTTTTTTAGAAGTTGCTTCTTTACCAATATATGTAGTTTTTGAGGTCCTTATTTAAATTTCCTTGCTGACATGGAAGCTTCAAATTATGTTATTGTTCTAAAGATAAAATGACAGTCAAGATGGTTGAATACATCATTTCCTGCAAAATTATTATTGACATACCAATTCGATTTGTATCGATTTTTTTAGGAAGAGTACATCGACGGGTGAGAATTTGAAGGCTTATTTTCACTAAAACGAGCAAAGAGCAAAAGGGGACACTACCATATTAACATTTTGTGCCCATTTGTTTCGTATAAATATTGAGTTGGCTAGACGATTCTAGACAAGTTGGGTTATCAAAGAAAAGTTATTTGATGAATCTGATTTAATGTGACTGTCAATTGTTCAGCGTTAAATATATCAAAGAGAATATCTCGAACTTCTATGATTTAATTATGAAGACACGGATTTTTCAACGTTCAATGTATGAACCAGCTACATTGTGAATAATAGATTGTTGAATGTATGAACTAGCTACATTGTAAATAATAGATTTAATTCATATTTTACAGTCATTATGAAGCAGACTACATTGCATTGAATAGTTTTCCTTGGTGAGTTTTTTCCACTATCTTCAAAAGTTGTCAAACTGAGGGATCGAGACTGAATCGAACGTGTTATAGTCGATATTATTTTATATGTCGTATCAAAAGCACATTCGAGCCTGAGAAAATGGAATGAATTCACAAACTTTAAGTGCCATTGAAACGTACACTCAAAATTTGGATTTGTTAATACTAATCTGTCAAGATAAATGTGTTCTTACGTCTAAGAAAGACACAAAGGGAAAAAATAGATGGAAAAAGAAACAATTTGAGCAACCACATATCTCATATAACAAAATCCAGGGTGATAAAAGCCAAAGACCTCAAGCCCCCACACCCCCTCTATTGGCATTGGCAATTAGACAAATTTTTGTGATAACCATATTTCAAAACCTAGATCTAATAGATCAAAAAGAATGGATTTTTACTGGGGAGGAAAAATTCTATTGTAAAAGGTGTACACTCATCTGCCTCTCTCTCTCTCTCTCTTTCCTGTCTTCTGTTGGAAGTTATGAAGAAGTAAAAGCATGTGTTGTGTTAGCCAAAGATTTGACCTGTTATCTCATAAAATAGGATGTACGCCTCGCAGCCAAGAACCCGGTCCAGGCTAACCTCGTTTACGCAGGCGTCACTTGCATAATACCAAACAGAAGCATCTTCTTCAGCTTCCCCATTCCTCCTCTTCCTGTTGCCCCCTCTCACGTATGCAACATAATGGCCTCCTCTCATAGATCCCGAGTGCTCCACGACCCCGACCAACCGATATTTACACTTGTCCCTATCTGCACACCTGGGAGGAACATAAAAAAAATATGGTGTTAATGTTATATTACGTACAATTGTTCAAATTCAGTCACTGCTAATCATCAAATCCTCACTCAGCTTTCATATTAGTTGAACTCTCCAACAAACCCGAAGGTAACTATAGTATGCATCTGTACCCACCACAGTATAACCAAGAAGGAATAAGCTACAACTGAGGATCTATAAATGATATAAAAAAACCAGTGGTGAATACTTCTTTTCAATGCAAGACAAGGAACTCCGAAGCATGAGTACAGCCTCGGCCCCCAGCCTCGGCTCGGGGGGCACTATGGAAATGTACTCTCACTTGGTAAATTCTGTGCACTGGTGTCAATAGTGTATGAAACTCCACATGGCAAAAAAACAGTATAAGCCATAACTCTTGGTGTTCATGAATGTGAACCCATGAGCTATAACAGATTGGGCGAATCAAAATTTCCCATGCAAAGTTTTTCTTCTTTTTGTTTACACCCTCACCATTTTCTCAGATCAGGTTCTCGATTATTAATTTTTTTTTTATAAGAAACGATTCCTTTGATAGTGTGAAATTTAGGAGTTTTTAGCCTCATAACAAAGGATCTACAAAAAGCTTCTCCAATTGCCCAGGAGAGTACAAAAGTTATGGTAATGGAAAAGTGGAGATTAAATGGAAGTGCAATTATCAGAATCAGAGATAAAATGCAGTAGAATGATGATGGCCAGAGTCGTGATTTCATTAGCAATCATAAAACAATGACAATGCTATCACCTTCCACGATCATCGTCATTCTACCGGTAAATTCAAGATCATGATAAGAGTGCTTCAAGGTTCCATATTATGGTGCCTATACCATTGAAGCGCAGCTTCTGATCTGATAATAAGTTGGACAAAGAGGAGCCTATAGATCTAGTCTAGTCAACAACAGTGGTTATGAAAATTTTACGTTGTGTTTTGCTTACCATGAGCATCCACCAAAGCTGGCCTTTCAAAGTAACCTTGTATAGTTTAATGCAAATTCTAAGAACCTACAAGCACTTCACTTAGAAAGCAACATGGAGTAAACATGCCATTTGGGTGTACTGATAAACAATTAACAAAGTGTATGGCAAATTTAGGTCCTTTGAATGGATATGAGAAGAGGTAGCAGTTGACAAATTGATATTTTTATCCAGGTTAAAAGGATGTAAGCAATCCTTTTGGGGAATTGAAAAAAATGTATAGTGCAACAGGATAAAAGGATGAAGATGGTACCTAGTATCCATGTATGGTTTGAGATCAATTGTTTCTTTGAATTTGACGTGGCCGTTCAATTTACTATAACGACCCCGAGCATCCGGACTGAACCTCTTTATATGAACTGTCAAGATAGGAGGGGCCTTGTGAATGAGAAACCTCTTTGTTGCATCTCTTTTCACATTCACAATTGTTGAATCAGAATTCATCTCACAATCCTCACTTTTTTCTGGTTGGTTCTCGGCAGATATTTGTGAACTCAAGGGCTCAATATTAGTTTTTGCAAGTCCCCTGCCTTTAGGATCATCGTTGGAAAGATAAGACCTGGATTTATCATCAGAATTCTCTTGATTGCTGGTGTTATTACAACCTGAAGCATATGCTAGGCCAGGATTCATATCTTTGTCAACCTTAGCTTCATCTTCATTCAAAACAAGAGAATCCATCTTGCCTTTCTGGCAATCGACAGGTTTTGTTCTATCTCGACTGGAGCAATCTGCATTTTCTTTCAAATTCAAGCTTTCACCGCTACTATGACTTAAAGAACCATTTATTAAGTTCATATTTCTTTGATTTTTTACTTCAACTGAAGAGTCCACGTTGAAACTAGATATATCACCCCCTACATCAGTTTGATATCCATTTGCTACAGCTTTGCGAGCAACTTTTGATTGCTTCTTCATTTCCAACCTTTGTTGTTGTAGCCTTTTTAAGCATTTCTCACAGTTATATCCATTTTCGTTGGACAGAAGTTCTGGCTTTGTGAAATAAGTTAGACAACTCTCCACAGAGACGGGAGCATTAGTATTATCAACTTCCTCAGGCTCAGACTCGCTAACAAAACTACTCTCTGCAACTTCATTTGCGGCGGAGGGCCTCGCAATGGGCCCTATGGGGATTTCAGGCTCATCAAACATATCACCAAGGCCAAATCCCTCAAAATCATCTTGAGCACATCCCAAAATTGATGAGGAAGCCTGATCATCTGCTTTTGCTACTTCAGCAGTGGAGCTCTCTTCCTTGTAAGGGAGCAGCAAAACTTCAGAGGCTTGAACCTGTAAAGGGGATTCATCCCATGAATTCACTGAAAAATCTGGTCCTTGATTGGGTTCATTGTGAAGGGTTGACACTTGCATACCCGACCCAGAGATGCTTTGTGAATCGTCACTGATAAATACTTCGACGTTATTTTCAGACTCCTGAGTAGTGGAAATATCACAATTTTCGACAGTTAGTTCTGGTCCAAGGAAATCCATCCACGTCAAATTATCTGAAGCACATTCTCCTCCATTCTCAATCAAAACTTCTTTTTCAGGCTCTTTAACATCTGAGACATTCTGAGAACTTAAAGTCTTCTCCGTGATGGTAGTTGTGCTACTGGCGGCGCTGGCCTCTGATGCAAGGGAAAGCTCATTACTGGATGATGGGAGCGAGGCAATTTGAACTGGGACAACATCTGAAGGCTTGCCAGTTTTACGAATCGTCTTTCCACTACTCTTAGGTGGCACTTTTGTCTTCTTTGCCCGAGAGACTGGTTGGACCTTTTTGGCCAGAGGTTTCTTCATTGGAACGGGAAGAGAAAGATTGAGAAATGGTTCATAAACTGTTGATGTGTGGCCACATTCTTTGCAACATACAGCACTTGATATTTCCCCCCCAAACATCTCATCAACAAAAGAAGGAGTGGGATTTCCAGACATTCTCTCTTCCTTAGACTTTGTCATCTTCCTCGAAGTCAGCTCTTCAGTAGACAATCCATCAAGCAGGGCATGAAGCAATTCATGACTGTCGTGTTGCTCATATCCTTTGAACTGAGGGGCTTTGGAAGAGATGCAGCCAAAAACCGATCTTGGGTTTATTGAACCTTTCATTCTACCTTCCATTCTTGCTTCTATAAAGATCTTCTTCAAGGCTATAGTTAGAGGTCCAACACATTCTTCCAATTTCATAAAATGATCTCTCAACATATCAATGGCCAATAGATTTTGAAGGATTGAATTGAAAAAACAAGTGTTACCTAGATTAATCAATCCTTTTACAACATAATGATTTCTTCCCTCCAGATCACTTAACATTGAACATTCTGATTTAGTTGCAGCTGTAACTTCACTGCTTGCATGCCATGTGTTCTCAATGTCCACAGGCGAGGCTTTGATCAACCGATCCCTAATTAATTTCACCACATTAGACAAGCCATCATTTTGTTCACCATTCTCATCAGTTTTCTCTACTGGAAGTAATTTGTTGCAAGAGAAACACCATCGAAGCTGCGGGTTTTCAAACTGAATCACCACAGGGTGTCGAGTTTGCCTGACATGTCGAACGGCATGAATCTGAGAGTTGGTAGGAAGTCCAATACCTCCACAAGCATAATGCCCACACTGCAAACAAATCCAAATTGCTTTGGCATCAGGTTTTACATCCACGGAAGTTCCCCCCTTTTTCTTCCCATGTTTAGCCTTCCCCTTACTCCCCCTTCTATCAGCTGAACTGTCTTGACAATCTTCACAGCTAATAGGTTCCGAGGACGCAAGTTTAGATGATAACTCTTTGAAATTAAAGCATTTATCAAGGTGCTGGCATTGGCTTCTCTCCTTAACAACTGACACATCCTCAACAGCAATCTCCACCGTTGGGCTGCTTCGCTGGGGCACCTTCCTCGGTGAACTTGAAGATACCCGCTTCTCTTTCAGAGGGGCTCGGTTGTTCTTCTTCTTAACTTTCTTCCCCATGGTTCCCTGAAAACAGATTCTGAGATACTACTAGAAACAAATGAAGCAAAATTGTCCGTAACATAATCAAATCAAACAAAATCTGCTACCACAACAACAACAACAACAACAATAATAATAAAAGACCCCACCCCCTCGAAATCGAACAATCGCGAGGAACTTCAGAGTCAGCCATCCCTGTAACTTATACAAAACCTTACACAATCCATAGAACCTACAGGCGCATCATCTTCTAATCCTAACGAAGATCCAGAACAATATTTCAAATTGAAAACGGTGGGCAAGAGCTTCTTCTGAACAATCACAGAGGTCAAGACAAAATAAGAACCGAAGTCGAAATCCTGTACCTTTTAGATATGAAGAGAACCAAGACTGCTGATGGAAATTTACAGCGAAACCAGCAATCACATGAGGAAATGGAGATTGAAAAATTCAAGAACAATGCTTCAAGATCTCGAGAGATTGAGAAGGAGGGAGAGAAGCCTGCACATTCCCGCTGCTGCTACTAAAACTCTTCTTAATCTGGCCGATGAAGATGGCTCTAAGCGTCGGATTAGTGAGGCCTGAGGGCTTCTGATGAGAGGAGAGAGAAACGGAGAGTCTCAGCAGCAGAGAAATAGTAACAAAAGGGGGTGAGAATATTTAAATAAATTGGCTCAATTAATAGTTTCGTTGGTAAATTATAATTCTTAATTAAATTATAATTATTTTGTACACGTAAATTTTTAATTTTTATAATTTCAATAAATCTTAATTTAATTATTTAAATTATTTTTTATTCTCAAAATTTATATTAAAAAAGCTATAAATAATAATAAATTTTAAATTATATTTTATTTTACATATCAGTAATAATTTTGTTTTTAATGATTAAGATCTTTTTTAAAAAAAAAAATAGATACCATCGAACTAAACTTTCAAATTTTAAAAAACATTTTAATCCCTAAATATTTTTGTGCATAGTAAATTGGTAAATTTTAACATTTCAAAAGTTTAATTTAATATATTTTTTATAAAATGAAATTTAAAATCCTATTTTCAAATTAATTTTTAAAGAATTAATCTAAATTTTTTAATTTTTAAAAATTTAAAGAGTTAGAATTCTTTTAAGATTTAGAATATTCCAACCCTAATGAAAACTCATTGTCCGATGAGTTCATAGTCTGTCATCCTCCCAACTTCGAAGTTCGAGGACATCAATGAAGTTATTTGAATCGAGAGAATATAGTTGTTGCTACTACTACAGATTCTTAGACGAACAACAAAAAAACATCTTCCCATCTCATTTTCATCCATCTAACGATTATGAATATGACAACTACAATCTATTGTTAGGATCGCTCAACAACGCACATTCGATCAAGATAAACACAAAGAATAGGAGAGAGAAAATTCAAAGATGAATATTGGCTAAAAGTTTTATTGATGACTTCAGGTACGTACAACAAGACAAAAGACAGAATACAGAGAACGAAGAAAGGAAGAAAGTACATTTTGTAAGCACGTGATCTATATAGGGTTTCAATTTACTAAATATAACTTATAGGAGGCTCTATGTCCCAATATCTATCACCCCGCATCAGAACTTACAGAAAAAGTACATATGATCTAAGCCATAACCTGTCAAGTTAGTCTCAATTTACATATGACTTGTAGTCTTGTATGGCAGTGGGGCAAAAAGACTAGAATTTGTAACCTGGAGGATGCTGTATCGTGTTCGGCTATGGTGCTTTCGGTACGTTTCGTTTCGTTTTTTTGGTGGGACTTCAAACTGGCTAGCTGCTTCTGTGAATGCTTAAGGATGAGCTTCGCCAGCAACGTTTCTTTGACACATCCTGAAAACAGAGCCATCAAGAATGGATTGACAACGGACTAAAAGGCAGGCAGAATTTTAGAATTGCAGAGCATTTATGGTTTTTCTTGGTCCGAGTTGAATGATAAAATAAGGATTCATTCTACAATGTCGTTGATCTGTCAGATTTGTTAAACAATACATTAGAAGAAGGTATAGATCTTATCGAAGATTGTTGGGAGAGTAATCGATCGACTAATTAAGGAGTTGATCATGAGTTTATAAGTAAAGAAGACATCTCTATTGGTACGAGGCCTTTTGGGAAAACCAAAAGCAAAGCTACGAGAGCTTATGCTCAAAGTGCAGAATATTATGCCATTGCAGAGAGTCGTGATTTCTAATAGATCTATGCACGTAGCGTATTAATAATATCAACCGAAGATGGGTTAATGTACCTTAGAGGATGGAGGCAATGGAGCCTGCAGAGCTGCCTTTCCAGGATCCGACAGCACCTTCGTTATGTTTTCTAAAAGTTGCAACTGATTGATCTCCTTCTCTTTGCTCTCCACAGAGAACTTGAGCTTTTCTCTTTCCTCTTGAACAATCTTTAACCTTCCTCTGAGCCACTCAACTTCATTGCCGATTTTCGACCTTTCATAATCGACAGCAGACATCGAGTTTCTACGCAATTCACAACGTAAGGAATTGCTTCGAGAACGAGTCATTGGTGGAAATCTTCCAGTGGCATCTGAGCTGCTTCTCGTGATGTCTAGTCCATTCTGCAACAAACTGAAGGATGAACTATCACAATTAACTGGAATAATCGAGCAACCATTAACCGATGTTTCTTTACGAGCATTAGCACTTGCTTCATTGGGCATTTCATCTTCAATGACATGAATATCATGAGGACAGGCATCTGTATCATTCACAGATTTGAAATCTCTTGTCCACTGCTTTTGATGGTTCCCATGCTTTTCCAAATTATACTCAACACAAGGAAGAGCTATTTCCGCAAATGCCAACCCGTCGAATGAATCGTCGTAGACTTTTTCTTGTTCATCAGCAGTCAATTCTGTGCACTGCTCGACCTTACCTAGGCCATTCGACACATTGCTATTGCTTTTCGGATATGGCTCCAGTTCATTTACTTCTCCTGGTACAATGTATACATTTTTATCTTCTACCATGCCCTTTCCTTGTAACTCGTTGTCAATCTCTTCACTACGCTCGAAATCGGCAACTTGGTGCAACAACACGCCACTAGCTTTCGCAGCATCAGCGAATTCAACCGCTTGAATCGAAGGGGACTCTTCCCCAAACTCAAAAATTAAGTTTCGCGACTCCACTGATGGTAACTCATGAGATTGCTTGTCTGTAATGGATCCATTGATGCATTGAAGCACATGAGATGGATCTTCAGTTGGACAGGGGGAAGAAGGGGCCCATTGGGGTGTAAATTCAGAGTCAAGCATATCAACACTCACTCCATCATTATCAAACAAACTTTTCCTAAAAGCTTCAACTTCCTTCTTCAGGAAATGCCTTTCCTGCTCTCTCCTCACTAGAATTTCTTTAAGAATACTCATTTCCTCAGCATCATAAGCAGTTTTCTCCTCTATCATCCTCTGGTATTGCCTAGCCTCCATTTCTATACAAGCCTTCTCCTCTTGAAGACGTAATATCATAGCCATGGCCTCATCAGCAGCAGTGGCAGCAGCGCTTCTCTCTTTCTCGAGCTCCAGGTACAAGGTAGCGCGAGCTTTCTGCTCTTCTTCGAGTGATTGTGCCAATAGTTTGATTCTATCACTCTCATTACCATCCAAGCATAACTCCCCTCTGCAGTTGTTCCTAGTCTCTTCAGCAGATGCTCCATACATCTCTGCGCATATTTTCTCATCGTAAGAATCATCTAGTTCGAGATCGGGAAATACTTTATATTGATTGCTGTTGTCTAATGAAGCCTCCCCTTCATCTACAATGTTATCAGAACACCAAGATTGCAGTTATCACCATGAAAAATTATGAAGAAAATGCAAAATATCTCTTACAAGGAAACTTAAAACTTCCGTTAGAAAATACTATTACTGCTCGGCCATTCTCCCCTCCCAGGCCGAGGCCCCCTCAATGGGTTTTAAGGAGGACCGCGCCCTGAATCAATCAATAAGCTTTTTTATTTGATTGAAGGGAAAAATTACTATTTATTAGCTTCGTAAATAAGGAACAAAGTAATGAGCAAAACCAAATAAAAACAAATTTTTGCTGCATTCTTCACGACATTCACTTGAAAATTCAAAGCATCAGACTTGTCAAAAAGGAAATTCTCCCAAACATCAAAATTTATGATCTCAACGTCCAAAATGCATATTCGAAACATAATTCGGTTTCCAATACCGAACTTTCCAATCAATCTCCGAAAACAGTTAAGGGTCCTAAGCATAATGCATAAATGCTACACTACAATAAAAATGAAGTTCAGAAGACATAAGTTATCAGCCATTTGCTATCCTAATAAGCTCATAGCTGCCATGAAAAGGCAATTCAATTCGCATAAATGATCATGACTTTTTAAGTTGATCTAACAGGGAAAGAATGACCAATGGTACAAATTAAATTTCATTACCTCCAGAATCAACAGAAAAGAAGCCATCCTCGTTATTGTTATCCCCAAATCCACATAAGCTTGAAGGAGAATGACAAAGGTCTTCCAGTTCCACGTCCGACTGAAAAACGTCATTCGGAGACACCGATGCAATCTTCCTGCCACCCACACCGCCTTTATAACGCGATTCGTTGACATTGAGAACGTCTCCATAAATCATACCTCGAGGTGATCTGGTTTTAAACCAGGAATCACCTGATGCTTCACCTTTGAATTCAACACACACCTCCTTCGCATTCCTCTTGTGCACTGACATCGACTTAAAACAACATTTTGGCTCTTGATCCCACATGGAATCCAATGGGAACTTTTCTCTAGTTGAATGTAGGACTGAAGATATTCTTTTGGATGAACAATCCACTAGCAACTTTTGGAAGCAGTGATCACTACCAAGGTTCCCAAATAGTCCATCACAAGGGCAAGGCAGACATGACCCAAACAGCGCCAGAAATTTGGATGTAAAGAAAACAAGACTCGTTGCACATAATAAAAGAAAAGCTATACCAAGATCAAGAAACGCAGCCACTAATCCATTAAATGTCCACAGTTGTACAGCTTCACAAGCCATTTTCCACAAGAATAACTTCAACGTCCAATGCTATCCAATCAAACGAATACGAAAAACTACTTTTCTAGTCGCTAGACGAACAGAAATAAGATTGAAACCATGAATCAAGCTACAAAAAAACAACAGAATAGAAAATAAACCTCGTTTTCGCCGGTGAAAAGTTCAGAAAATCGAACGAGTCCCTTACTGAATCTACAATTCATAGCAACAACTTTCAGTTCGAAATCTACATCCAACCGCGAACTTCACTCCACCACAGTGAGCATCACTGGTCGTAAATGGAAATCACAAAAACTTAAACAGAGGAAGAATAAAAACCGAACAGTAATCAGCGTTTCTTTCGAACTTCCATTAGCTTTCAACTCTTAGCAACTTCACAACAATATGCTTCCGATAACGAAAACAAGTAAATTAGTAGATGAAAATGAAAAATCAGGAAGTTAAATGGAAAGGAAAATCAAGTGATTCAATGGTGGCGGTTTCCACTTTCGATTTCTCGAATACAAAAACCCTACTAACTTTCCATAAAAGTCGATTTAGTAACGTCGTGTGAGGTGGAGGATCATGATGCTGAGGAAAATGGGATGAGAAATATAGAGAAAAATTTTGAAAATGAAAAGAAAAAGAAAAACGAGCTGAGTGAAGCTGAGTCGATTTAATCTGTATATTTTCCATGCCAGATGCGGCGCCGGCGGGATTGCCACGTGGCTTTAAGTTTCTTAATAGTCCACGCCCTCTGAGCGCGTGACACGCTAATGAGTAATGAGGGGACTGAGATCTAATTATCTATTTTTAAAATGTATATATATATATACGATGAAAAATATTAAAATATTTTTTTTAGTTGTGAGTGGAAGATTCCAACTTTTGACTTTATTCAGTATATAATGCCTCAAATATATTTAATTATGTCAATTATTTCGTATAACATATTAAAACTATTTGTATAATCCATTAATTAATATTTTTTCTACTAAATTATATCCAATTTACATGCTAACTAATTTAAAGTCAGTCAAATTCAAATATTTTTCAATTTATAAATATGTTAGACATAAAATTAAAAATTAAAAATTTATTAGCAACTCTTTAAAGTAAAAATATAAAAATATGGAATTGAAAAGTTATTTATTTTCATTATTTTATAAAAAAAAAAACATAATTCAATTACTCATATTAGACGATTACTCTAATATAGTTTAAAATCTCAAAAATTTGAACTTTAATTTTTAATCTCACTTAGATAAAAAAAATTATCTCTATTCTTATTATATTATACCTAAGTCATAAATATTTAATGTTTAATTCATTAGAAAAGCTTAATAATGTAACAAGAAATAACAAGAAATAATAATGTAAAAAAAAATTAATTTAATAACTGTATGGACGAGAGACCCAACTATCAAATTTTTAAGACAACATATTTTAATTGGTAACACATTGACTTAAAAACGATGGTTTCTCATCCATACAATTATCTTGATTAATTGAACTACGTTCATATCAACAACCACGTAACGATAATAAGAATGACATTATGTAATATAATTCACAACATCTCCAGAACATTACAATTACAATTCACCAAATGAAATAAACAAACATTCAATTATGAATATGACATATCAGCCTGACCTTATTTTTGAAGCCGCCGTCTTTCATGTCTATACGATGTCTTGATGTCTCATAACTTCATTCAAGAGAGAGGTCATCATCCGTGTCAATTCCAACCCAGTTAATGAAACCAAATAGAAATTCCCTGAAATTCACCTTCCCGCTGTTGTTCCAGTCCATTTCTCCTGTATCAATCAACAAAAGTGGAAAATCAATATAAAAGCACGGCTTTAATCATTGGTATCAGAACATTCAACTAAAATGCCTAGTTTGTAAAAGAATAGAGACCAAAATGAATCCAGGTTGAAGTACGAGAACCAAAATAAACATTTTGAAAGTAGAGGAACCAAAATAAACTAAATTCAAAACACGAAAACTCAATGTGTATGAAGGTGTATTTGACACATTGTTTGATCAGATATGTTTAAATTGTCTAGAACGATTTGTTAAATGGAGAATCTTTAATGAAGGGAGGAATACGAAATCTAGTCTTTGTAATGCGTGCAGGGGATCTCTCGAATGGAGAAGCCTCGTTCAGAGCCTTGACCATTTCTTTCTTGTTGAGATTGCCATCACCATTTTTATCAAGAAATATGAAAGCTTGGATTATGGTGTCAAAAGTTGCTTCAAGTTGAGGTGAACCCAGCTTTGATTTCTGTAACAAACATCCCGGATGGTTATGCCCAAGAATAACAAACAGATTGAAAACTGAATGAAAAGTTTGTGCTTACGGTGGGCGAATGCTGGTCCTTGAGGAGATAAATGAGACATAGAAGAACGATAAACTCGTTGAACTGTATTCCAGAACTTCCATCAATGTCACAAGAGTGGAAAAGATCCTCAACTTCGTCCTCGGTCATATGCATTTGCAGCTGCTGTAAGCATTTCTTGAGTTCTTCGCGATCGATGCTTCCATTGGAATCTTCATCTGTGAGAGAGAGAGAGTATGTGAGAAAATCCTGAGCAGGAGAATCTCAAAAAGAGTGATACAGCTGAAATAAAGCTCACCATACTGTTCAAATACACCCCTGATGTTTTGTAATCCCTCTCTGAATTGGGGAAATCTCAAGATTATGCCATTTAATGACTTGAAATTGTCATGTCCAGCTAAATTTCTTTTGACTTCAACCATTTTTCTTCCAAGCTTTTCATCTATTCTGTTATATTTATTTGATGAACTGCAGCACAAAAACATGTTTCCAACTTTGGACATGATGGCTAGAATGAGACGTTCCTTTAGAGTAAAAGATAGAGAAAATCAATGTGTGCCTGACAAGTCAAATGAAAACAAAATCAGCATATCCTATGAACAAAATAGCAATTCCAGAAGTTGTCAAACAGCCAAAAAAAAAGACTTGAGAATGGAAAATAAGCATTTAGGGTTTCCTAAAGTAATGATATATTGAATTTACCATAATCTATCCGCTTAAACTTTTGGGTTGATTGATGATTTAACATGATATCAGAGCAGGAAATCTTGTGTTTGAACTCCTATAATGATATTTCCTCCCCAATTAATATTGATTTCCACTTACGTTCTACAAATTTTGAAGCCAACACGTGAGAGAGTGATTTACGTAATTAAATTGACCATAACCCATTAGCTTAAGCTTTTGGGAAGATTTGTGATAGCAAGGAACTGAGCATTAACTGTTGCTTGTCTATGAAAATGGAAAAGAAATGCTATATATGCAAACATTTCTGAAGTATCTCTTATGATCATCACTACTTCCCATCCACTTGAAACGTGGATACGTACTTCGAATATGCTCTCCAAAGTTTCTTCCTGGTTGTTGTTTAATAAATTAAAACAAAAAACGAAAAAGAGTAGGATTGCATCAATACATTCTAATGAGAGAAAGAAAAATCCAGTAATCCATCCTTTCCCAAAGCCTCAGACACGAGATTTCCCTCCAAATTATAGACTACCTACATCGCTTGTAAATCGCCTTCTTTCCAAATTTCTAGCTATCTATCCTTTTGCGTGTTTCTTACTCTCAGACGTTTGCCCTATCGATTGTGAACAACCCTGCTATACAATTTCAGTTCGAGGTTTCGACCAGATACTCATGTTCACAACAAATTCCAAGATTAACTTAACGTAATCCCAAAGAAATCATTCAGAATGCTATTGAACATCAAATTTAACCCCTAGATTGCACCGTCAATCGGCACGATTAACAAATAAATCGACGCAAACGACGCGCAACATTCAACTAAGGCAAATAATTCTGTTTCAACACACAACAAAATACAGAACTTACATAGATAATTTCACACAAAATAGACTCCAAGACGACGAACAGATTAAATTCTTTTACGCGGAAGTACTGCAAAATATACAAAAAAAAAAAAAAAAAAAAC